GCAGCCGTTTAAATACATGTAAAAAGCTAATTGAACTTCCTGTGTCAAAAATCACATGAACATGAAGTAGTTCCATATTCAGTAAAATATTTTTAAAATGCACTAAGTTCTATGTAATGAGTTCTAACCAAAGTATACATTTAGATGTAAATGGCAATAAAACTACAACTGAGAATCTGCCAGTTTTCAATTGTATATGAAGAAGGAACCTTATTACTAACATGAAGAGTGGGGCTTGACAGCAGATCTGGTTTTGTTTCATATGCACAATTTCTGTCACGTTTGAATTTGATTGGTATCAATTTTGAGAAATATGTATGTCGTTCTATTTGTTAGGAGACTTTCAGCGCTAGCAATGGCTACTTTTTGCGTGGACTGTTGTGTATTGAACACCTTGGCCGGCCACATGGCTCAGCAGATGGTGTGTGTCTCAACCTACTTGCTGTGACTGACTTTCAGAGGGACCTCAAAAACCCCAACTTCATGTGGCATCATATCACTAACCCTGAAATTCAAACTACACTTTACAATAGAATACAAGAGTATCGCTGTTTGAACTGTCCTTAAAAAAGCCACCAACAGATATCAGTCTAACTAGATACAGATAACCATCAGGATTATTTTTTCATAATCATTTGAAAATAAAAGTTTACGGAGAAACAGCAATTTGTCACATGGAATAAATCTTGATATGTACGTTTATATAAATGGGGCAATATTTTAAGTTTTAGTGTAAAAATTGATGTGGCTTAGGAGCCTTGAAATATTAATCTGACTCAGATTCTACTGTTTTGTACTTTTTGTGCCAGTTGTATCATAGCATGCTGAAATAAGACTTTTCACAATGGCAACATGTATGTACATATGTTTGGTAATGTAGATAGCATTGAACACTGTGGCACCCATAGCTTTTTTATACCTTCTCTGGGTGAAAGATTTATGTCCCAAGTAGTTAGTAGTTGTTAGGTGGCATATAGTACCCAAGATGTGAAGTAACAGTGAAGTTTTTTGTTTCATTACAAGTCATAGTTGCAAGAGTGCTGTATCACACCTATTTCACATTTTGGTAGTGTTTGGAAGATGTTTGACAGTAACATCATCTTTTGAATAGGCCTCATAATCTCTGCATCATTTACCACATGATCACTGCTGGGAAAAACAACTACTGAGTAGTCATAAGAAATATATGGAATATTTTTCTGCACACATAACAGACTGGTATACAAGTAAATGTATAATTTCCTCAACCAAATATTGAAGTAAGCAATATTGTTTTCGAGTGATTGTCTTTGTATAAGAGCCATGGTCCTGCAAAACATGCAATTAAGGTAAATATTAACTACTTGCTGCTGAGGTTTCCGGAACCGGACTCCTTAAGTTTATATGCATACCACCGGGGACACAAGTGCTCCAGCAATGAGCGATACAATACTGCTGCATGCTAATCTGGTCCCTGTTGAACAGAGCCAGCAGCAGCAGCAGCGCACTGTGCCAGTTTTGGGAACAAAGAAAATTACACAACACCGCACAATCTGGGCTCTTTTTACAAGGCGGCAGGCCTGGCTAAAATACTCCAGCGTCAATAGATGTTGTCTGTCAGATTAGAGTAGAATCCAGACAGTCATTCCTGTGGGTGTAAATGTCCAGTAAATGAAGATGAATTTTTGAAAAATGTTGAAAATGGAAAATCTTGAAAATACCCCGGGTATATACGTCATGCAACTTCAAATTCAACCCAGCAACATGTGGTTACTTATCACAAATGTAATTGGATCCAAGAATTGACCTTGGCTGTTTTGAAGGAACTGGAGTTTCCTATAGGCTGATTCACAATCCCTTACACTGAAATAAATGTCTAACAGAACTGTTTTGGTTATTTTATTGAGTTGAATACTTCTGAAAAAATTGGAAATTGCTACAAATTCAAGATGTTACTTCTGATATTTACCACCTAATTATTATCTACCCTTTAGGTCTTATCCATCAACAGTGGGTTCAAGTTACAGGATGACGGCCGTGAATAACTACAGCACTGACTGCTGTGCAAAGTGTTGTCTGCTAGGTGCATCCATGTCCCTGCACATACCTGTAGAAAACTGGCTACATGGCTGTTTGCATTCTTGTGTCGGTATATGTAGCAGATGCCTTTACAGGAAATGGCTGAATGTGTACTTGCCCATTGCATTCAGGCAACGTAATTTGGAATCTTATTATGCTCTGCAGATATGTGTATCAATTCAAACTGTCTGCACTCAGGAGGCGTCAAAGCTTCTCTGCATGATGATCGAGTTTGTGCTCTAGTAATTTAAGACATAACAAGTCCAGAATTATGCAAGAATCAACTGCAGGTCCAGAAGCAACAATGGTTGTTAGCAAACCATCTGACATTATGAAATTGCATTCATTGCAGAGTTTATTGAAGTGAATGTTTGCTAATTGTACAAAACCAGGTGGACAGATGGAAAAAAAGACGGAAAACAACAACCAGCAAGGTGTTGGCACCAAGACTAAACTCTCTGCAGTGTAGTCTGCAGCCCTTATAAACCATAACCCCCTCAATCCTCCAGATGGTTTCGGAGGATTGAGGATGAATGCAGTTGTTTGGCAGGGCAATTGGGGATTTGATGGATTAAGGATGTGCCCTAGCAAATTGGCCAAGGGGTTCCGGTTAAATTTTAGATTGAGGAGAGTAAAATGTCCACATTTGGTGGAACTTTTTTTGCCACTGTTTATTTTAAATTAACATTTAATGTCAATCTTTTGAATGTATATACATGTACATGTAATAGGCTTATATATAGCCTTTAATGAAACTATTTTGCCAGGATGTAAATATCAGGGCCTCCTAACTTCTTGATTTGTTTGTTTCAGGATCTGATTCCTGTTGGCATGTAGTTTGTAGCAGTCTATTATTTTTGAAGTACATTATGACTCTGTTAATGTGTCATGTGTCTTTGGGAAAAACGGTGATAACAACAAAACAAAGTTGATGCTTGGATTTTCATTTTGTACCTGATCTCTGATTTTGCATGATATATTTTTGGTAAACATAATACAAACTTATTACATATTTAAATCGACATGGTATAGGAAATTAACCAGATTTAGAAACATTGTGAATGCAATACATCGGGTGGATTGGGGGGGGGGACAAAATTCTGCTGCAGAACTAAAGTTATCGAGTTGGAATGAGTGCTGCTAAAATGGTTGGTTTGCTGCACAAAGGTTCTGACACACCACTAAGGGATGTTAGCATGCAAAGCAACTGTGAACAAATACATTAGTTCACCATGACATGGGTTTTTTGTACCCAATGATAGAGGGAATGTTTCTGTTACTCTGAGATTTCCTTTACCAAAAACCCTACCCGAGATCGTTCAACCTTCACACCAGTCCAAAGCAGAGATACACTGACTATAAAGGTACGTATTTCCATGATCACAGTTAATTTATTGCTAAGATTGTGTAGAAAAAATGGTTTAAGTACTTTCCTTTAAGTTGAGGCAATTTAAAATAAGTCAATGAAAATACAAGTTTCTAGGAATGCCAAAAAGTGTTTATTAGATATTAGAGGCATAGATATACACATGCTACACAGTTCATTTCATGCATTCTCACTTCAGCTGATGCATTTTTTCATTTTCTGAGTAAAAGTACTGATTGCTAAAAATATATTTTATACTCGGCATAGCCACAACACATATCATAAAAATATTCTATTATTCCAATCTGCTTAATTTTTATTTTAACTGGGCAGAAATTTGGCATTCATTTGATATTAGGCAGAGTACATACTAAAAGCAGACATACAAACAATCTAACTAAAACTCAAGCAGTCTACAGGCTTATATGGTGATACTACATGTCTTTTAACCTTTACCTACCGGTACATGTACCAACGTCAAACCTTTATGAAGCGGCATGCTTGATACTTCTCATGATCATCCGCTTCGAAGTCAATGCTCTAATCCAATTTTGATATTCAACAATTTTGGGCAAGTTCATCTATGTTGCTCTATGTCTAAATAGTCGATTATTTGGAAATTCAATGTACAAAACCAGCAAATAAGAGTAAATATAATAAGCAGCTTCACACAAAAACCGACATGGAATGGGGAAGAAGAAAGGTCATAACAATGTTATCTGTTTCCCACAAAACTCAACTGCATTAAAAAATCTGGTTTTCTTTTAAGAATTTATGAAATATTTAGTTTTCAAATTTTGTAGAGTCTAAAAGTTTTCATCTGAAGAAGTCTTAATATTCCCCAAAAGCCTTCAAGGCATTTGATTATTTTCACTTTTGCTTTTTGTAAAACAATTCAAAAAGTTTTATAAATTACATGTACTGGAGTAAGAAAGGCATTTTTTACAGTAAAATAAAAAAAAGAAATTTTCCGTGACATTTTATTTCAAAAAATGATTTTTGGTTTCATCTAAAGCTAATTAAAATGACATCTCCCTGGAATATGTATATCTTCATTTGTTCAACAGGTGAAACACTAGCATGGAAAAACGTATAAGTATATGAAATAATAGTGTTCAACTTGACTTAAACAACTTTACATGGGTCAATAGACCTACAACATTATGACATAATGCAGTGTTTACCACGGTGCATTGTGGGTGAAAGGTGGGGATGTTGCAGGAATGCATCAACGTGACACGTTATGTGTAACGTATACTATAGGCGTGTGTATCGGCCTGACACGAAGAAAATAAAAAATTTAAATGATTCATGTGAAAATAAATAAATAGCCTTATTTCTCACAGAAATCTGTCGCCGTTTGCGGTCTCTTAGAAGTTTAAAAAAAAAAAACACAGCTCTGGCGTTCGTTGAGTGCTTGATAAACCCAATTGAACAGAGCTGTTCACAATGACCATTTCGGACGGTAATCGGTAATTTTTTTCTTTTTTGGTGTCAGGTTGATACACACGCCATATAGTATACGTTACACATGACGTGTCACGTCGACGCGTTCCTGCAACATCCCCACCTTTCACCCACAATGCACTGCGGTAAACACTGCATTACGTCAACATGTAGGTCTATACACATCATCATTTGCTGATTCTTAAGCAAGTTGAGATTATGAGCAAGCACTTTTAAAGTCGAATACAGATTCTACTTTTACTGAGTAGGTAGGATACTGAAAATTAAATGTGATTTTTGGTTCATTGCTATTAATTGTACACAATTGCTTTCTCATTTCTGGCTAATGAATGGCCACAACATACATGTAGCTCTTACATGTAGCTGGTCAAAATGCATGTTTCCTTTCAGGTTTATGTTCTCTTCAAAAACAATGCATACGTTTATGGATACATGTATGGTTAACATAATTCACTTAAAAACAGGAAATTGATTTTAATCATGAATTTTGACATCTGATTTGATTTCAGTCAGCTGTATGATCAATCCAAGATGTTCAATAATTGAAAATATTCATGTTGGTAAAATCTCACCAAAACACATTTTACGCACCATTGCTTTTTCTTCTCCACTTTTGTCAATCAAATTGTTAAAGGAAAAATATTTCTTCTACGCTTTCACTTCAGACTAAATGTATGGAGGAATTAAAACTACATGTATGAAGGAAATAGCTGTGTGTGGAGTGAACTGAAACAGTTTCTATATGAGAAATGTAACCATTAAGTAAATTGAATTTTAAAATATATTTTCAATTTAAGAACAGCACAGTGGTTTCAGAATGATTTAAGTTTGGTCCATGATCTATGAACCACTTACTCTGTACTGATCAATATTACACACAGTTCACAGGTGATTTGTGTTGTATCCCCTTGATGGGCTTACAGAATGGTGCATCCACAGCAGCATTGCTGGGGGTAGTCTGGTGCATACACTTTGTGCTCAAAGCCATACACAAAGAAGCTTCCTTGGGTTTCTTTCCATTTGTACATTGCTTGAGCTACAGGAATAACACGGACACTGTGGCGCTGTAGAAAAACATATACAGAAAATAAATTGAACCCAGCTGTGATATTATCACCTACATCTGATGCAGGGAGAGAAAAAAGCTAAGATCATGCCCTTGCAGAAATCAGACTTCACAAGTCTGCATACAGTTCATACATATCACATTACATATTTTTCTTCACCCTGTGAGCAACTTAAGACGGCAAGTTCAAATTTCACCTTACCCATTCACTGCTGAAGTACAAATACATTAACAAAGTTGACTTTTGTACTTGATCACCATTTCCTCAGGTAATAAACATTATCACCTTGAGGGGCTTTGGCATATTTACAACTCAGTTGTAGAGGTATGTTAATAGATAGGCATGCATAGATCCATGATTATGAGCAGGATATTTGGACAGTCTTCAGGCTCAAAGGCAAGAACTGTCTCAAAGAAGTCAACAGGCTGAAATAAATCCATCAAATTCCATTTCAAAAAATCGGTGATATCCAACATCATACTGAAAAAATGCTTCAAGACATGAGTCCACTATGGGGTCTTTACCTGAGTTAGATTTCACAGAAATACAACTTTATTGTAAGTCCAAAAGGAGTGGCCAATTAAAATGTAAAAAATCTACAGGATTGGGAGAGAATAAAAAGAAACCAACCTACAGCTATTTTGACCATTTACAATGTCCAGAAGGCTTTTCCACATCATGCATAAAGATGCAAGCTTTAATTTTTGACTCGGAAATATAGCAATATCTATGTGTGTACATAATATTACTTGATATAATTGTGATGACCACTGACTGTGTTAACCTCGGTGGTAATGAAGATATAGAACTGTTTTGTTTTGAATTTTCTCAGATGGGAAAAAGTGTGAGAAATTTTCCCACTTTTGAGGTTGACTATTAATTGCACTGTACTGTGTTAAATACACGTTCGTGACTTACACATGTACGATGCTAAGAAAAAGGACGATCATGATGGCGCTGATATGTTACATTGTGGCACATGAAGGCGCAACTGTCGTTAATCAAGTTTTAGCGAATGGCTAAGTGGCATTAGGGAAATAATGTATCAGAAGGTGATTTGGGTAAGTTGAATGCAGTAGACTTTAAATTTTTGGCTGACCTGACATGGCAAAATGAGCTTTGAGTGAGAACAGTAGGTGTCATTTTCACAAAACTGAAGTCAAAATGACAAGACATTACTGAACAAATTCATGAGGGCTTGGTGTATCAAAAATCAATACATACATGTATACATGTACTTGTGTAAAGAAAATCCTACATTAGTACAACTTAATAACTTTGGGGTTCAGGGGTCCAATGGTACACTATGAAGGGATTGTTTAGTAAACAAGAAGACCACAGAGTTAAATTCTAATTAAGAATTTATAAGTGATGGTCCGTGCTTTTGGAAAAAGGAATCTTTTTTAAACCATGTAATGAAACAATATTTTGAAAAAAAAAGTGAAACAAAATACCCAGCTTTTAATTTTTCATGGTTCAGAAATACGTGTTGCTTAAAGAATTAATTTTTTATATAACATAACTGACTTGATATTGACTGTTTTTAATTTACAAACATTACAGCAAGAGATTTAATGCTTTCCTTTCAAAACTCCAGCAAAATTGAGTATCAAATTGGAACTTATCGAGTACCAGTTTCTTATATGTGAAACTGCAATATATATACATGTACTTTAATTCGAAAAATAAAATCGTGTAGTATACCCTTATGTGTGATACTTTAAAACAATAAAAGTAATTGAATTAATAATGATAATTCAGATTTATATTGCACACATATCCACCCTGCTGGGTGCGCAGGGCGCATCATTATCATTACAACAACACATCATACTTTGCAAATCAAGTAGAAAGGATAATTCATTCACAGGTTTACATTCACAGTTGTGCACTGCTACACAAAACATTAATATTTCATGCAGCAGTATAAGCACTTAGCTCCTTGCCAAACTTAGTAAGTTTTCAACTTTGCCTCATACAAAATCAAGCAGTGATATTACATACTGTATTATTTTTGTACAAACTTATGTCTAATAGATCAAAAATTAAAGCTGGCTTCAGAGCAACAGAACAGTTTTTAAATTTCGGCCAGTGCATCCCACTTTAGACCCATAAAACAAAGTAAGACCCTTATGGTTAAAACAAGTGCTGATTTTACAAAAAGGGAAGTATCATCTTATTTGTAAAATGTGTGAAAACTTTAGCATTTTGAATGTTTCTTATGAATATGTACAATACTGAACCTTCTAGCTGATTGTGTAGCACTATAACATGTAACTACAGGGACATAAATGTACATTACACCTGGTACCACAGTAGAAAGGAGAGACATCATTCCATATTCAAGAATGGCCTACCTGTGCAATAATGCGTTCCAAGGGAAATCCAGTTGTATGCTGCTGCACCAATTGCTTGGATGCCTGATTGATGGTTTGATCAGGGAAATGATTGATTGGCCAGACCTAGTAGGACAAATTGTTTGAATCCAGATCAATAAAGTGTTACTTCAAGCATTTACTTACATCAAATATTCCTGTTAAGAATCCTAGAAATGCCCACATCACCGCATCTGCTTAACCCACTTCTTTTGGATTCAGTGTACATCTTTTTTGGAATATGAGTACGCGCAGGCATGTTTTTATGCCTGTTAATTGAAGATGCAGGATTCACACAGCAAATGAAATGCACTATGCAATACATCATTTACACTCATCATATGGAGAATGTGCATAAAGCAATACATGTACATGTTCTTGTGTTGCTCGCCTTATATTAATATTGTTACACATCTTTAACTATTTAATAGTGGAGAGATGTGAGACTGGGTTTATGAAACCTGCTTAAAAATAAATCAGGATGAGTAGTCCCAAAAGAAATGTATCTAATGTGGACCTCAATATTGTTAACATAAACACACTCACCACATTTTTATGAGGACTAAACATGATGGTTGTAAACGGTTGTAAATGAGACACCAAAATGTGACAGGACAATAACGAATTCAAAGGTCTGTAATGACTATTAGAAATGTGGTTGGACTATTTTCCTGTTGTGTTTGAATTTGATGTTGTTCTGCCTCCTGAATGTTTGTACATATGTTCAGTTGAATAACTAACAGATCATGTATTTTGTAGTCATCTTAGTTTATGGTAACATTTGTAATGTGGTGTCCTGAGCAATTACAAGTATGCACACTGATACTGCTCTATCACTGCCCTGCCAACAGTTTTAGTTTGCCCAGTTGCCCCAATCAATTAAAAATAACCCATCTATAAATATAGAATGCCCTAGGAATCTGCAGCTGTTGCCATGAATTAAATTTGCAGACGTTTCTCACTGTGATTGCAATTGCGTCCTGTTCATTACTAACGTAGGTTGTGTACCGCTTCGAGCCCAACACTTGTTGGTGTGTTCCAGTTAAACCACATAAACACAGCCTCATACCCAGGATGTATGGGCAACATGAATGAAATGTTTCCTACAATAGGAAACAAGGATGGGGTTGCGACATTTGTCGTGTCTTCACACGTTGGTACAGCTGTTACAAGTGTGACTCTTGAAATTTACAGTTTGCAATCCAAGGAAATCTAGCCACGGAGGTATAAATTTTAAATTGTACTGTTTACAAAGCAGACCTAAGTTACCACACTTCATATGTATTTATTAAAGCATCTAAACCATTCTGGGAATATTAACTATCATTAACTGCAATGAGTATTTCCAGAAACAAACTTACCCGTGGTTGCTCTTCAGTAAAAGCAACTTCTCCTGTTACACCTCGAATCAGCTCATCAGGTAGAGAGGTTCTTTCCACAATACTATCACTCAGGTGGTTGAACCTGTTATGTATTACAATATTAAGAGCTCATTCAAATGCATGTTTTTTTTAATTAAGTGTCTGTCCCAACCTAATCATCTGCTGTTACTGTTCAACTTTTCATTCTCCTGTCTGACTTTTTATTCCCCTACAGTAACTCAAACAAAATGTTTTGTTATACCATGGTTATAGATAACAGTTTTTACTGGTCAAGAATCGTTCATGTGATATGCCACAAACATTCATTTCTCAGATGCAAGAATTTGAGTGATGAGTACTGTGGTATCCCACAGGTACATTACCTTGACCTAATCCATGGTTGACATTTTGTTTCCACTGCATTTGGGTAGCATGACCTTGGGTAATAGGTTGTACAGCCGCACGGTTACTTAGTTCATGTATGTGAGATGTGCTCTATGAGACAATGAGGCACTATTTCTGCTGCAACTGCCATTTTTGTTTATATTGTTGATTTATGTTTCTTACTGAGCCAACTTTGCCATAATTTCACTATTATATCAGCAGTTGACATCTTTGGTTAACAGATTTTCTTTCATTCCAAAAATGAGAACAGAGATTTGATTTTCGTGCAGGACAGCAATCAGCACAAAGCAAAATATGGAATAATCTTTGCATATGCGAATGCGGCAGTTCTGAATTCCTCATCACCACATGCATGACAGGGGAGATTCTCCAGTTTTAGATGCTACCCATGACAGAATTAGCTTCCTTACTGGAAAAGTTTTTCAGAAATATCTTTTAAACTAAACATTGTTGGTGAACACAATTTTTATGAACTACATTGCGACACATCAAAATGTGTTTCACTTTCCTTTGCATTCATCGAATTTGTTACCATGCTATAAACAAAATCCTTGTTGCCTGTTGAGACAGAGTTTGCAAGTTTTGTAGACAATTGGCATCCTCAACTTCATTTCACGTCCCATTTGCCCCCTTGGGTGTACAAAATACCATGGACCCCTACACACAAACAACATTTGTATGTTGTATGTGTAGCATTACCCGCTTAAAGTTGATCTCGTCAAGTTCATACACTGCATTTACTGCCCTTGTGCAGTGCACGTAAAGCAAGTCCACCAGGATTCTTACGTCTGTATCATAAAATACTTGTCACCAGGTTTTAGTTTTACCACAACTCTTCATTTCTATGAATAATCTACACTTTAAAGAAAATTGTCTCGTGCTCAAGTAAGTACAACTTACCACTCAATGGTGAGCTTGATAAAAACTTTAAGGTTGCCAGTCCCAGCACAGTTACCACAAGTCACTTGTCCATGACCATGACATTTTTGACACCTATTGGGTAAGTTACAAACAACATATATGGTATCTTATACTGCATGGTTGAGAGCATTTACATGTATTAGCTGTATACTGAGATACCAACACTGAGGATGAGGAATCTGTAAGGTCTCCCCCAAAAAACAAACTTTATTGTACTGTATTTTGGTATGAATGCTTACAGTATAACCAGTACTGATACGTACGAGGCGTCACGCACATACTTAGTATAACAAAAATGTTCCCTTAGACTCTACTGAAAAGATAACGAATCAAAACTATTCTAAAAAGTCAAAGATTGTGGCAATATTGCTGTCAATTCTTTAGCAACACATGTGGTGGGCAAGCACAGTTTAAATTTTGTAGATAACACTCTTCACACTGATTCTAATCACTATGTTGCACAGCGCGACAAGTACTGGTATACACTTAAGTTTGCAAAGTACCTTTGTACCAGTTGAGGATTCTGCTGGCCATTGCACTCAGTATCATAATAAATTGGGCCATTTTTCAAATGCCTTACGAATCTTTGGATATTAAATAGAAAATTGCCAATGGTGAAATGACAAAACAGAAGCTACTCTAATTTGGCATGGGTTGTAACTGACAATTTTGGCATAAACAGTGACGTAATGCACCAACTGCATTCCCGAGCAATGTTTCAGGAACACATGCATGAAATACATATGAGTTGAACCCATGATGTATAGCGCATGTGTGTACACTGTGTATAATGGCTGGTTTGATGGCATGGGACACGCGTAAAGGTTGGTCAGTTTCAGGGGTACAAAATATGAGACCAACTATGACAAACAATTATTCCTGTCTCAGAACTGGTTTTAATATCATGCCAAGACAGGCATCATATGAAATCAACACAAATATGTTTGTAATCTTTTTTTTAACTGACACTTTGTTTTGAAATTAGAAAGGATTTAAAAGTCGGTTGAAGCCTTATGGTGAAATTGGAAGGGTCGGCATCTCTGTGTATCTAAAGTACACTGAGAACTTCTCATGAGTCTGGACTACTTAATGCACATGTACAAAAAGCAAATAATGTTGGTTGTATACATTAAGGTCCACTTACATATATTGGCCAAGACCTGAGCAGTGCTAGACAATAGCCCAATAACATTGTTGTGAGTGTATGTTGGAAAAATATCCAAATGTAAAAATACCAATATTTTACATGTATAAAGCTCTAGGTAATATCCACAATTAAATATTTTGGTTAAAAAATGTCCCCATAACTTCAGTGATGACCACATGGAAGTGCTTATACTATTTTGATAAAAAAAAGATGCATTATAATCCTAAGCCAACTCTTAACTTTTGGATGGTACATGGCAAATTTCAGAAATGTAAACTGCCAATGATTAAAAATCTTTAATGCAAAATTAAAACTGAAAAGCAAACCTACCATCTGCTTAAAAGGAATGTTTAATCCAGCCCTTATCGCTAGTGAACGGACAGATTGCACAAGTAGCAATGAAGATACTGATTTAGTTTTTTACTTTTCCTTGAAAACACGGATGCAGTGATAAAAATCTTAATAAACTGCGCAAAATCAAACTGTCACATTAATTTTGCTTCAGACAAGAATGTGTTGACAAACATAAATGCCCCACCATGCTCTTGCCTAAACTTGCATCTTTAAGTTTTGGAACACAACCAAAAATGTCTTGCTTTATAGCCATTGTGATTTTTACCCTTGATCTTTCAGACTTTAATGTAATAGGCTTGTGGGCTTACGCAAAGAATCCACAACCAAATTTGAAACTTACACGCAAAGTGTTCTTCAAGTTATCAAGCTGACAAGATTTCTTTTGTTTTAGTTCCTGTGACCTTAACCATTGACCTTTTGGTCCTAAATGTAATAGGCTTCTAAAAATCATCAACAGCAATCCGCTAACCAAATTTGAAGTTCATATGCGAAGTATTTCTCAAGTTGTTGTATTGACAAGAATATTCCAGACACACACGCCCATAACCATGGATGGAAAAGGCAGAAAAAGTAGACCCCTTAATACGGCCCCAAACAAAATAGTCCTGCGTAGTCCTGCAGCCGAACCGAACCAAAAATTGTTGAACATGGCCCTTTCCAACCAAACTTAACCAAACTGGTCGGTTTGTATGTTCGGCTTTAACATGGCATGGCATTGATAGCGCATGGAGTGCACGCAAGAAAACGTGATAAAATAGCAAACACAACAAAAAATGGATAACGAGTTGCACTGCACTGGTGCTCAGCACATGTGCGTGTACACACATACTGTAAATGTACTGTGCATGTACAAACATGTACAGTAAAGTTATGATGGCCCCGCATCACGCGATGGTTGTAAAAACCACATGGCGGGAATTCTATACCAGGCACGACATCGCACAGATGGGTACCCCCCCAACAAGTCCAATTCCTATACACACTCCAGCCTATTGTTACTTAACACATCCCCCCTTAATGTCTGAAAAGAATTCCTGAGATATCGGTATAACAATGACCAACACAAAGGCGAGGGGGGGATTCATTGTCCCATAGTTTGNTTCACTAATAATCAACCCAGAACATGCAAAGTACAGCATTTCCGCTGCACAATTCTAAATTCTCACTACATCCAATCGTGCTTATGTACAGTCAGAGTTAGGATTATGTTTACCCGTCTCCAGTGGCCATGCCCTAAGATTCCATATTAGGCTAATGATATCATAAATGGCCATGCAAAATGAATTTTGATTGGATGCTGATCATAGTCGAACTCTTGTTCAATTGAAGGCAACTCCAGAGTTAAAACTGATTTTGCCAAGCGGGCAGGTGCAGCGCTCTGGCTTGGGTGCGAGACAAGATTTGGTTCGAGCAGTGGCCCAACCTGCCCAACCAACCTGTCCTGATGTGATAATGACGCCATCACAGGAGTCGTCAAATTACATTTTATTTAAAGCATGTTATTTCTTGAATTACATGCCTGATTAGGTTGAAACCTTGGACCCAAATGGTCACAATGAAATAATTACGCCATGAAGTTTTTGCAGTAGATTGGTTGTTCAAATTAACAAAGGGATGCGAAAGAGAACGCTGTTCTGTTGGTAGCCAGATAGATAAGCTCTTGTTTCATTTAATTTTTTCCAGGTTGACAAAGGTGTGACAGATGCATTTGGAGAAAACCATGACAACATTCTCCTCAGATCAGGCCTAAGTTTTTGACACCACGGATATTCAGTATTCAAAAGAACTCACAAAATAAACTGTTTAGTTGATAAATTGTTAATTTCAAATAATAATGGAAAGGTAAAATGTAAAGAGAATGGAGGCATTTATTTCATTAAGAGGAAAAACTGAATATACTCAGAAATTAATTCATGAGATCTGTAAAATAGTTGATGTCACACCTTTTATCATATCATGGAAGAAACATTTTTATATTGCTCTTCAACACATCTTATTTTGGCATTTAATGTTGGTGCAATCATTATAAGATTGAGAACAGGGTTTGAAATTATCAGTTTAAACTGCCTTAAGTTCTGTTTCAGTGAAATTAAGAAGCAAATATCGTCTACTTTCTCCGCAAAATTTGGGTAAGGACATCGTCGATACAAAATTATAATCACAGTCATTTTCCTACTTCTGCATTTTTCCTAGTTCTTGAAATAAAAACATTACTACGTGTAAAATGTAAGCTTTTTGTTAAATAAAGTGTTCTAAAAACTGCCAGAAAAGAAATTTCAGCCAGATTTCTGATTCACACTTCAACATTTTAAACGGTCTCTCAAAAAACATGGGAACCAAAATAATTGACCGAAATTTACAGGGTCGTAGGTCACTCACTACTCATGACTCCACACACTTTTTCATACTAAACAGTCATCTAAACTCATGCATCTTAATTTCTGTTCAATCGACATGACTTTTAGAGTTTGCAGTGTTTTTTAAATTGGCCGAAAATGAATGCATATTTTTCCCGGATTTGGATTGAATAAGCAAGTACACATAAGTATGTGATGAACTCAACTACACAAGCATAACAGATTTGAAGTAATTGTCTACTGTGTGGCTTGGGGGATTGTATCAGTGGTAGCTTGCTGTGCAGCTGAAACAGTCGAGTCAAAATTTATGCAAGTTCGGTGTTTTTAAGTCACTAGAATTTGATGCATGCACTAATTTTCTTAATTAAGAAATTCATTACAAAGTCAGCTTGTTATAATGGTTCTGGCTGAAAAATGGCTTTCTTGTGATGTTACATTTTATTTGTGAAGAGGTTTTTGATGGGATCTGGAATTGGTTTAACCGATCCAGCAGCTGATTTCACGAAACGTGGCATAACTATGAACCACACGTAAGCCTTGCACCACAAATTTATGCCGTAGGTGCGCAATACACTTACAATTGATTTCATAAACAGTTGCATAGCTGCACCACATTTTTAAATTTCTTGGAGGACAAAAACGGCTTTTACGACAACTGTTCCATTCTAATGTAACAGCAGTCATCAAACAGTTGTTGAATCACTTCCACCCGCTATTTTGAAAAGACTTTCATTTTTTTCTTGGTCAACACCAGACAAAAAAATCTCCCAGTTTTGTAACAGCCAAACAAGTTTCTTATTACCTTCTACAACAAAGTTTTCGTTTCTTGTATAGGCCTTGTTTAGTTCAGCAATGACGAGGCTTAACTGAACACATTAATCTAGTCAAATAGTTCATTTTCGCTTCGTTTGGTGCAAGTTACGCCACATAAAATGACAGCTTAAGTTATGCTATCATTTGCTGCGTAAGTCATGCATTTATGCTATGCGTAAGTTTTGTGAAATGGGTCTTCATTTATTGCGCAACTTACACGATAAAATGAGGCAAAAGTGGAGTTATGCCACTGTGTAAAGTTTCATGAAATCAGCTGGAGAACCACGAAAAGTGTCATTGTCATTTCATTGATCCTGTAAGTTTAAATTAAACGTTTAAATTTGAAAATAATGTTGTAGTATTTCCAACACACGAGGTGGACTACTGACGATATGTCAATAGTTCGCCATGGTCATTTTGTTGGCTAGCGCTACATGATTTAACTTAATTAGTGCACTACCAACTCTGCTGACTGTTCACTGCTGGCTCAGGTGACTGTTACATTGTGTGTTTTCATTACACCATGCACAAAGCCAGAGCCAAGGCCCTACATGTGCAATTGTTCACCACACGCTGTTGGTATCCCTTGTAGTGGTCTGCAGTTACAAATCCATCATGATAAGGTCAGATGCCCGACTTATGCATCAAACCAGCAATGTATGCAAAAAAAAAACAAGCATGTATTGAACAGCTTATCAGGCTCACAGTTCCTGTTTACATGTACCTGTATGTGTCCGCTAAAAATCTGACCTGTACTGTACATGTATGCCATATAGCATGAACTTACTTCTGATGGCCAGTGCCATGGCACCATGTGCACTCAATATGGTTGTCATGGTGATGGTGTCCATGGTGTCCATGGTGTCCGTGGTGTCCATGGTGTCCATGATGGTCGTCATCATGTAGGAGAGGACTGTGGACATGTCCACTACCATTACAGTGGTGGCAACGAGTCTACAGTAAAACCAAGTTTACAAAATGAAATGACAATTGTCCACTTTATTCATTTAACAGCTGATAGGCACTCAAAGTTAATGGCTGCGATTGAGCACTTTCAAGCAAGTTTAGATGCTAAAAAGTGAAAGGGGATTTGGATCTGTATCTTTCAAAAAACTGTAAAGCTGTCTTTAAAAAATCCTCTAAAATCTTTGTTGGCCAAATCATCTGCCACAACCAAACAAAGTTTACACAGGTAGCATCGCTTAATTCAGTACACGTATGGTACAGGCATGTCTTACATGTAACATGTCCTGTATTTGTCAGTTCCAATTATCCACTATAGTGTACAAAATACAGTTTATATGTAAATCAGATGAACACCAGATTCTTATCCATATATTGGACAGGGGGTCTATTTCAACCATCCAGGCACTGAAGATAACTTGTTAGTTTTTTTGTCACAACAGGCCTGAAGTTACATGTATACACACAAGCAAGCTGCCCATCTTAAGATTATCAACAGAAAATGTCAAAGAGAAAAGACTGGAAGTGACTTACATTACCATCTCCATGACATGAGTGGCAACGTTTGCGTCCAATACCCACACAGTCATGGCATGGCTATGGAAAAACACATAACATGAACACAATGAAAAAACTGACAAGCAATTGTCAAACAAATATCAGTTTCTGATTACCATATCCGACTTACAACCTTCTGTAGATCACAGCTTGCACACACCACAGTGCGAAGTCTTTTGTGAAAGGTCCCAACCCGCTCACTTGTCCCAACCCGGTCACAAGTGGCAATTTTGATGATCAAAAAGTATACATTTTAACAATTCAGAGTGTGTACATGCACAGGTGGAAGAAGCGCTCTCTCCACAGCTCATTTTAGGCTTGAGTGTCACTCACCACAGTCAATGACTCTCTTCCCATGCCAATCTCCTACTTTAGGGTAGATATTTTTACCATAATATTAGGTTGCTGTGGGGAGATGTACTGCTGGAAATTAGACACTATGATAAACTGTTGATGCACTGGCTTGGTACATGTAAGTGCAACTGTTGGCATACAAAGATCTCATGTCCACCTCAGTGTTCTTCAATTTATGGAAGTAGTCTGCCAAGTTTTGACTCCCACTGTTCAAACAAAGCAGTCCCCTGGGTTTCAGGACTGGTTGTCACGTTTTAAAATTTGGAGCGCTGTGCCGATATTTAAAGTTTGCCTTACCGGTATTTCAAAAATTACACCATGATTAATGAAAAGGAGTCCCTGAAGTTTGTATTCCTTGTGCTTGTGTGATCTGGATATGAAATCATGAAACACGTACATGGTACTGGCACATATTGCTTAATAGGCCCCTACAATCACACAAACACATACAGTATGCATGCATTTCAGTGTATCTTCAGCTTGCCCAATGCAGCCAATGTTATATGAAATCATGAATGTTCCAATGTTGATAGAGAACGCATTTACATATCCTCTGCACACTCCGACACGTGGAATGTGGTAACTTCAATGAACATCATGCACAACAACACCTTTCTACAATTCCTGCAACAACCACGTTAACAAGTTTTGCCGTACACGGTCTGAACTGGGCACAGGAAAGAGATAAAGAATAAATTTTTTATGTAAATTTTCCCCCACTAGTTACATCAATTATCACTGAAGGTAAGTGATAAAGAGTCATGGAGGATTGAGTTATTATTACTTTCTGTCCTTGCTATGTTTGCAATTCGGCAGAAGTCAGACTGGAACTCAGTTTTCAACAGTGCTGCTGTGCTGTGCACCAGTATCAAATTGAGGGAACATCAGGCAGCAAGGTAGAGAGGCCAACATTGAATTCAATGCTGTTTTTAAAATTAATTTCTTTTCTAGATATTAAAATCGTCATGTCAATGAAAAGAGGAACATTCATTTATGTATTTTTATAAGACTGCATTATTTAGGGTCTGTGTGTTCCTAATCCTACAAATAAATGATGCTAGCCAGATGTGTGGCAAAGTCTTCCCCCACAGAAATGTGGGTGAAGTCTGCTATTGAATACCTACTCCAAACACTAAATACATAGATTTCCCTTGTGCCTGATTCTATTCACTAAAAACTTGATCAACTGAAGTGCGCCCTCTAGACTCATGATGCACAGCGGAGGAGGCGCCATGTTTGTCCTTTTTCGGTATAAGACCGTCAGAGCTAACAGTGGGCAGGATGGAAGGGATCCGACTGTTTGGGGTAGGTATTCAAACCAGATCTCAGTTTCTGTAGGTGAGGAGTCTTCTGCTTTCATGCTACCCCAAACAGTCACTAAATATGCAGAATAGCACTGTTCCCCGGAGAAGGGTAAAGTGAGGACGAAGAAAATGAGGGAGAGAAGTGCGTGGTTAGAGGTAACTATATAACTATAGGGTGAAGAGCTATAATGCAACAAGTCCAAACAAGTCAAAAATGGAGAATGTCACTCGATGGGAGAATGCCATCATTTTTCAAACACATTTACTTTGGGCTCTATTTTGTCATGCTGGCAGCAAAACTTTAAAGCTAAGCTACCATTTGTTTGTATTTCACTGAACTCCCAAATTCTCAAAGTTGCATTTGCCAACTTTTGGAATGTCTTGCCACTGAGGTACATTCTGTATGCCAATAATAATAAACAAAAGTGTCAGCTGGGTTTGAGTAGGCTGGAAGTCTTATAAGAATAGGTGCTGACAATGTTTTTCGGCATGGCAGTTGCTGAATTAGCTCTATCTACACTTTTGAAAGAGAAAAATAAGAAAAAAAAACAAAACACCAAACAGGAAATAAATAGGCAGATAGACACTTGCATTTGATACTCGACTTGCAGAAATTTTTGATAAACATCTCGCTAGTTTTGATTGTTTCCAATTGTTTAACTGACATATTGTTGCTGACTTCGGACATATGCATAATTGCACCTCCTGTGCTACTGGTTCCCAGCACCACCCATTTTGATATCTAAGTGCCATTTTACCAACAGGAACCTGTATAACCATTCCTATGTGCCACATGCAAGCTTTAAGCAATGACACAAGGAAAACTTGATTTCATGTCGCAATTGTACCTCCAGTGAAAGGTGACACATGAAAGGAGATTAACTTTTTTATAAATGCTGAAGCTTTTTTTTTTTCATAGCTTTTTAGCGTACAAGTTTTGGCCCTAAATCCTCACACACTGGTACATTTTGTGGGGCAGGCTAGCACACATTTGGATATGGGCTGGAGTTCAGAAGGGTGCATGCATCCCTAGCTGAAAATTGCTATACTGAACGATCACTATACCAAACATTTTGTGTGGATCCCATCGTGTTCGTTATAATGACGTTCCACTGTAAAGTAGGTTTAAATCTCACCTGAATAAGCTTAGGATTTTTGTCGTAACTCTCATACTACACTGAAAAGACAGTGTGAATTCAGCTAATGGTGGACAAAATCTAGTTTGAAACCAACATGACGGCTTAAATAATGTCACAATTTGCTGCACAAATCACAGACTTATATGTACATGTTACATGTACATGCATGTAACTTAAGTGAAAAGTGTCATGAACAGCTTTGCAACTTATATGCAATGTAATGTGGTGTAAGTGAGATTCCAACACTGTGAATCGTTTCAAAAAATGAACTGCTGGCATCACAGTGGGAGACTTGTTCCCAGCTATGGCTGCATCCGAATCTCGTCTAGAACTAGGTCTAGGTCTTCACTCAATTAGAAATGCATGGAGCCGCGTAGACAATAGACCTAGCCGTAGCTGTGGAAGCCCGTTTAGACACGGCCTATGTATGAAAGATGACTTAGAGGCTTACCTTAACAGATGCAGTATGGGGAACTTCCACGCCTGTTTTGTGGTTCTTGAATTTAGCAGGGGGGTTGCACTGCATATCCCATGGCCCAGGGGCAGGTCCATTAGCAGGCCCATCAATCATTTGCCCTGATAAAAACATGCCATTGTACACCAATGCTATCACAAGTTCTAATCATACATGAATTATAAGAATGGAAAAAGTTATCGATTTACAGGTATATTCCTTAAAACAACGTACGAATTATTCAGTTAGTTTTTGCAAGTGTTACATCATAAATAAATTTATCTGTGAGACACAGTTCAAGTATATTTAATGTGAAGCCAGTGTTACTGGTAAAGAGCTTTGGCAACTGTTTTTCCAACAAAGAAATGTTCAGTTTTGCTATAACCAGAGCATTATCTAAACTAAAATTAGTTAAATGCTTCTCACATTCCATGGCTCAATTTCATACATTCAGTCTGAAATGTACATGTATGGCTTTCAGTCATTATTCATGTTACATACCTCTGAATGGTTCTGAAGCCCATGCAGTTGTCCGCTTTTCAGTGAATGTTTCCAACTTATACTTCAAGGGAAACAAATTACAAAAACCAAAACTGTACACATTTATTGATATTAGCCCAATCTTCAGCTATTACATTATATCTGCATTAGATGATAAATTCATATGCAAATCAAAGGCTGTATCATATGCCAAGCAAACACA